AACATCTCACCATTTTTGCTTCATGTCTCCAGATTTTTGTTTTTAAGAAAACATCACATATATTAGTGGGGACAGTTGTACAACCAGTTGAAGAGCAATTTGTCACTATCTTATAGAAAGATATGCATCCCCTGTGACCTACCAATTCCTTCCATTAAATTTTGTTCTAGTATTGCATTTACTGAACAAAGATGGTATGGGTTTTTTGTTTGTTTTTGTTTTTTTCGGAAAATCTACAGAAAAGTTAAAAATAGAATACTTAACTCTCTTTTCACTTATAATTTTCAGTTGTTGGTATTTTGCTACATTTGCTTTATTTTTCACGTAGATGTTATTTTTGCTGAACCAACTGAAGGAACGTTGTAGAATTCATGAGACTTCTCCCCTAACTACATCAGCATGCATGTCCTAAAAATAAGGATATTTTCCTAACATAGCCACACTGTTATCATGCCTTAAAAAGTTAGCATTGATTTGTACTATCTACATACAGTCTAAATTCGGGTTTTCCTCGCTATGCTCAAAATGTCCTTAATTATTTTTTGTTTGTGGGTCTGTGATCCAGTCAAAATTCATGCATTGCATTTGGTTGTTACACCTCTTTAGTCTCTTGATCTCTTGAACAGACTCCTCTCTTTTCATTATATTTTTTTTGAGTGCCATATTTTTATTTTCCATTATATTTTGATTCTGTAATTTCATTATTTCTAAGAGTGATTCAGTTCCCAGGGTCTAGATTGCCTTCCTTCCTTACCAGTGTGTGATTACAGACTATCCAGGTGTGGCCCCTAGTTCTTCCTCATCTTGAAAACATCAGAAGTCAGATTTTCCTCACTGGTGTGAGGGGAGAAGTTTGCTTGATTACATTCTAGTAACTCTTCTTGCCTGAAGTTAAACAGTGGCAAGTAGTGTCTAACACGGGAATGCTTCAAGAATCAGTGTAGAGAACGGCAAACTTGGTCGTCATTGAAGCTGAGCAATGGTTGCGTGGTGGCAGTCTGTTGTACTCTTCTCTGCTTTTGTGAATATATGAAATTTTCCATAAATTCATACATTTTTGTATGAAATTTTTTTATAAAAGATCAATAATCTGGAACTTAAAAGGTACTTTTTTTCTATTGTTCCCTGGATTAATTTATTTTAAATGATGATTGCATTCCCAAGGGAGTGCACTTAGCTCATGGGATGCTGAACTAGGCGGTATGAAAGCCTCCTCCTCTTACTTAGTGCCTTGGTTCTCCGAGGAAGAGCGCTCGGATGGCAGGGTGAGATGTTAGCAGTGTGTCTCCTGGTTGTGGCCTGGCCTCAGGTAGGGTGGGAAGGACAGGTGGGTGCCAGCGTATAGGTTGTCTCTGAACTGGGGCATGCCGGCCTCGGAGTGGCCCTAGAATGGTATGCCAGTGGACACAGTTCACGAGAGCCTGGAGGCTGTGATCCGCCCTTTCCCAGATGACGAACCTTTAGGAGTGGGGAGCCAAGCCAGATTTGCCATCTTTCTGTAGACTCACTCCTGCCTCTCTTCCTGCCTCAGGACTGCACATGTGAAGAGTTCTGCCCTGAGTGCTCGGTGGAGTTCACCCTCGACGTGCGGTGTAATGAAGACCAGACACGTCACGTCACGTCTCGAGACCTCATCTCCAACAGCCCCCGGGTCATTCCGGTCAATAACGTTCTTCCTACCTAGGACCTTTGCTCTTCTCCAGGCTTCAAGTGGGCCAGATTGGGGTGGATTCTTAAAAAACACTGACTTTCCCTGTGTTACCCTCTGCCTTAACCTGAGCCTGATGCCTAGAACTGCTAATAATTCTGGACTCTTGCCAGGGTGGGCAGAAGTATTACTGGTGCTGTGAGCACTCTGTCCCCCAAGGGTCCTTTTAAAGGTCATGGTACTGTTCTGACTGAGGAGGCTGTCACAAAGCCCTGAGGTCAGGGTTAGAGTCCACTCGCCAGCACAGACTGGGTCCTAGTGGGCACGTCTACCATCTCATCCTCGGGCATCCTTTCCCTGCCTTGGCAGCTTGTAATCTGGAGGTTCCGGAAGGTGGGTGCCAGAAGAGGTGAGTGGGGAGATGAGCAATAGCTAATACATGCCTCTGTTCGGGCTCCCTACAGGTGACATCCCGCAACCGAGATAATGACCCCAGTGACTATGTGGAGCAGGACGGTAAGGGGCTCGATGGAGGCAGCGACTAGACCCAGCGTCTCATGCTGGGTCTGGTCTTGCAGTGGCCCTCCATGTCAGACTGGAGAACTGTGCCTCTGCTGGCCCTCCACTGACGCACACCTCTCCCCACAGACATTCTCATCGTCAAGCTGAGAAAGGGCCAGGAGCTGAGACTTCGAGCCTATGCCAAAAAGGGCTTTGGCAAGGAACATGCCAAGTGGAACCCGACTGCAGGGGTGGCTTTTGAATACGATCCTGACAATGCCCTGAGACACACGGTGTACCCCAAGCCAGAGGAATGGTATGTTTCTGGGGGGAATGGAAGCAGGCAGTTAGGGTGGGGGCAGTGGAAGTGGCTCCTAGTGACTAAGATGGGGCAGCCTCACTGTGAGACATGGGCGCCCTAAAACTAGCCACCCTGTGCTGATCTGTGTTTGACCTCAGGCCGAAGAGCGAGTACTCAGAGCTGGATGAGGATGAGTCGCAGGCTCCCTATGACCCCAATGGCAAGCCGGAGAGGTAAGATCCTGGTTTGGCACTTGAAGATGAAGTGTGTAAGAACGTACAGTTCTACAGCAGGCTCCGGGTCAGGGAGACCTTTTCTCTTCATCCCAGTTCCTGTAAGCTGAGGAGGGACTGATAACTGTTGAACCCGCAGTATGTACACATCCCGAGGCAGACTATCATCCCCCTTTTGGTCACTGTGAGAAAGGGGAACCCTCCAGTTATCTGTTCCTGTCCTGATTTTCAACTCTGAAAGAAGGATCAGCCTAGGATCAAACCTAGGGCCCAAACTGTCCAAAGCCTTTTAGTCACTTTAGTCACTTTAGTGACAGATATGAAAATGCTGGAGCAGGTGACACTATGATGTTCCACTTTTCCCTCAGTGTGGAATACATCCTTACACAAGTGTTTTGAGATTTTCACAATATCTTTTTGAGGTAGTTTTGGCCTCTTTGAGGTCTTGGAAAGTGCATTGGGAGAACAGTTTGTAAGAGGTTGCATGGAGGTCAGCCCTGGGGCAAGGTCGAGTTCATGGTGGGAAAGGAGTCAGGACCCAGAAGGGAGGGGAGAGGGTGGTGCGTGGCCAAAAGCTCAGGCCAGCCAGCCTGCCTTGTGGAGAACTCACCGGATTCTTGCCTCCCAGGTTCTACTACAATGTGGAGTCCTGTGGCTCTCTGCGCCCTGAAACCATTGTCCTCTCAGCCCTCTCTGGATTGAAGAAGAAGCTCAGTGATTTACAGACCCAGTTAAGCCACGAGATCCAGAGTGACGTCCTAACTATAAACTAGCTGCAGCTTACCTGTTCCAGCAAAAACAGCAGTTCAATTTCAGGTCTCCTTAGACTTTTGGCTCCTGGGGACTGGACAGCTGTTGCTCAAGCTTCTTGGCAAGCCTTCAGTACCAACTACAAAGGTAGCAGTGGAGAAGGGCAGGTCCATCCCAGCCTTGCTCAGTCGCAGATGGGTTACCAGGGGTGCCACTGCTGTTGGATGCAGGACAGTTTTTCACCAGCCATTTAGCATCCCTGGCCCTGCCTACTGATTGGCTGTAGCACTCCCCAGAACCTCCCTTCTGCCCTGTTTCCTAATGTGTCTCTAGGGGGCCATACTGTTTCCCTGTTGAGAACCACTGAGCTGGACTCTCCTCTTTTAGTCATTTCAGCTCTAAATTTACTTCAAATCCTCTCTGTCCAAAAGTTGGAATTTTCAGTTGTACCTTAGGCTTCTGGTGTTAGGATTGAGTCTAGAACCCTCTTTCAGGCTGCCTGCAAGACCTTCCAGTCCCTGCCCCAGCCAGCCAATTGGTACTTTACTCAAATTCCCAAGTGTCCCTAATTTGAGGACCCTTTGAGAGTATGATAGACCCTGGCTAGTCCTCTCTTCCCTCCAGTAAACCTTGTATTTTGTTCTCTATCCATCAGTTAATGAACTTCACCAATAATAGCCCAATTATTCAATTAGGAGGGGGAAGGCCTTAATGAAGGCCTGATCTTGCCCCTTTGGCCTTGTCGGTAGGAACACACCCAAAGCAGTTAATTAGCCTGGCAAGAGAAGCCTGGAGGTAACTAGAGATCTAGTACAGAAAGGAAGGGATATTTATTAACAGTAGTTGTCTTTTAAAAGTTTTTATTTTTGGCAATAAAGAGCACAACATCATCTCTTTCATGCGTCATCGTGCCACTAGCGGAGCCAGCCAGCTCTGCCTCCCTCTCCATGGCCCTTGGCCCTGGCTCCCTTCTTCAGGCTGGCTTATTCCTCGGGGTGGTCATTCCCTGGGTCGGGTTCAGAGTTGGCCGTGGCCACCTCCCTGACTCCAGGGCTCTGCTGGAGGGGGGCCTCTTGCCTTATCCTCCTCCTGCCACAACTTGAATAGTAGTTATTTACAACAAGGTCTGTTCCCACAAATCAGAACCCTAGAATATTAAACAAACAAAAAAACCCAACACACACACAACCAAAGGTTTGATGTGAATAGAAAGATAGCCCTTCTGCACGGTAGTCAATAAATACCAGCACTAGAAAATCAATTGCTTTAATTGCATTTCAGCAGGGAGCCTCAGCACCATGTGGGGAGGAAGAAATGGGAAGGTCTTGGTTTCTGAGTGCTTTTAGCTGGCCGGAGGGAGGCCAGACAGGGCAGAGGAGCTCCCTCTGTGGAGGCACTGCCCACTCCTGGTCAGTGAGAGAGGGCAGCAGGGTGCTCCCCCCCAAGCAGTCCTGTAGCAGCCTTCCTGCTGGCCTGGCCCTGGGGCAGGAAAGCGCTCCGTACCGGCCATCCTCCCCTTGGCTGAGGTAACCAGCACCCTCACACCGGGGTGTCTTCTCAACCTACTAAGCAGGAAGGAGCCTGGGCAGAAACCATTTTAAAACCAGATGTCACCTCTGCTTAAAACTCCAAGTGCAAGGCTACCAAGTGGCACAGTGTAAGTTTGAGTCCTTCCTGTGCCACTCTAGGCCCAGAGGGACTGAGAAGCCACCTGCCACCTCCGTCCCTGGGCTGCTTGCGAAAAGCCAGCAGTCAGAGCACCAGCTGTGAGTGCTGCTTGTCTCCTTCCTCTGGCCCTGGAAGCAGGAGGGCTGGTTCCTTGGAGGACAGGGAGACAGCTGCCCTCACATTCAAAAACAGCCTTGACTGTGGCTGGTCATGGGATTAAAAAAATGTGTATGTGGTGGCAGGGAGGGACGGAGGAAACCTTATTAATACAGAATATGTTAATAAGCCATATATATTAAAATCATTAACAGTATATAGTCCCATGGTAGCTCCAGCCCCTCACACATGCTCAGGTGGTGTGGCCAGCCCTTTGCTTTGGTCCAGCCTCACCTCTGGGGACAAAGAAGGGACAGCTTGCTCCCTTTCTCCAGGCTCTTGGCCAACAGCCCCTCCAGGCCGTCCACAATATGCTGCAGGCAGCCCCACAGCAGGCAGCCTCAGGAGTCATCTGTGCACGCCAGCTCTGCAGTCACTGGGATGGCGTCTTGGCCTCACTGCTGTCCCCTTGGCTGGGCTTTGGCTTTAGCAGGATGAATCTGTTGAGGAGGTCCGTTTCTGAGCTGGCCTGGGCTGCCCCATACCCCTCACCTGTGGATACAGAGGCAGGCTCAGGACTTAGGCCCAGGTCAAAAGACCCCTGGCCAGTATACCTTGTCCTCCACAGAGCCTCCTGGCAGGTGGGTGTGGGGCACAGCAGCGACTCACTGGCATAACTGGAGGCCTCAGCAATGTTCTGGGAACCTGTGATGTGGTGCCAGTAGGCACTGCGGGGCAGCATGGTAGTGGGCGTGCAGGGGTATGAGTAATGTTCCGTGCCCTTGTTCAGCAGCTGTAGGGCAGAGAAGGAGACAGTGGCTAAGCCCAGGGCAGCAGGCCCAAGGCCCTGCCTGCCTCTGCTGTATATGCGCCAGCTGCAGACAACTAGCATACACCTGGCCCTTGGCCTGCCTGCCCACCAGTCCCCCTTCCCCCACCTCGACTGAGCCGAGCACTGTCTCACCCTCACATTCTTCTCCATTTCCAGCAGGACCCGCTTGTGCTGCTCAGCGATGGCCAGGGTGGCACTGTGGACCCGCTGGTAAATCTGTTCCCCCTCCTGCGTCTGGAAGGTGTAGAGCCCTTCCCCAGCGTCACACATCCTGAGACAGTGGCACAGAGGGCAAGGTGGTGGGGACACCCCCATGTGCATGCATGCACATGCAGTCAGGCTCTTCTGCACCCCAGGCCCCTTTGGGAACAGGGCTGTCATTTCAGAGTCTGACCACACAGCTCAAACATGCTGAACATTTTCTGTGTGCCAGGTGGTGGTCTAAAGGCTTTACAAGAATTAAGCTATTCTGTTTTCTCCACCACCTTGCTCTGGTCTATGTGCTGTGACAGTTTCCTCGTTATTACAGTTTTTCTCAAACCATTTTTACAAATGAGGAAACTGAGGCATTTAGAAGGTAAGTAACAACCAAACTTAATACAGTGGCTTATACAGAATTTAAGTCTAGGCAGGCTGACTTCAGAGTTCAAGCGAGATGCAATCCTCACCATAACCCAACCTATGAAGTGAGGTACTTTTATTATCCCCGGTTTGACAGATGAGGAAAGTGAGACTCAGGTCCACAATCATAGAGCTAGTCAGTGCCAGTGCCAGCATCTGATTTGAGCCTGAGCAGTCTGACTTGGTAAACAGCTTCACTTGACCTCCCTGCTATGAGCCTCAGTTTATTCATCTGTGAAATAGGAATATTATGTTCCCCTTCAGCATGCTATGCTGATAAATAAGCTTTTCCAGCACAGATCCTGACATAAGTGAATGGCAGCCACCATCATGACCATGGTGGGATGGGGGTGGGAGGAGGAGGGGCAAGAGTGTCCTACCGGCCAGCCTCAAAGGTAAAGCGTGTGGCATCCCGGCCATAGCGGCGCAATGAGCAGAGGGGCCACGAGACGAGCTTCACGCGGGGGTTGTGTATGTCCCAGAGGTAGATGTTCTCGTGGGTGATCTGCAGCTTGCACTCGCCATACACATCCAGGTTGGGGCAGGGCAGCAGGAAGACGTTGAAGCGATCTGAATGGGAGAGGATGAGCAGGCCTAGAGCTTTCCCCCGGGAGGCCTCCCCCAATCCCTCCCCCAACCCCCGGTGCCAGCACCAGGCCTCACCTGTCTGCTCACACTGCACTCCTGGGGCCAGGAGGTCTGGCTCTCCCAGACTGATATCGTTGAGCCTCGACCCCAGACACTCCACAGACAGTGTCTTGTACCACTCCTCTGCTTCCAGCTCTGGAGAAAACAGTGCCTCATCATGTGCCAGATCAGGGTTCCCTAGCAGCGCCCCCCCATCTGCTTTAGCTGCATCTGTCCCACCATGCAAGGCAGAGAGGGTAAGGCCAGTGGATTCCTCCTGCTTGCCCTACCTCATCCTGGGGGCCCACTCCCTCAAAGGCATCTTCTATCCCAAAACATCATACTCCGTCAGGCTAGCCTTGCTCTGCCTCCTACCAACTGGACCTTGACCAGCCCACAGCCTGCAGCCCCAGCCCCTCACCTGAGTCGCAGGTGAAGGTACGTGCTGAGTCATCGGTGAATATGATGGCTACCGCCTGCCTCTTGGTCTCCTTGGGGAGCCGAGTGACACACTTGACATTGCTGATCTCCGTCACCTGGGACAGCATCCACAAGGGACTCAGCCAGTCTGAAGCACATCCCTCTACATCCCGATTAGCTCTGCCTCCCCCAGGAGGGTGCTCTTGGACCTCAGGACACTCAACAAATCATCACTGTTTACAGGTTGGGGGAACTAGGGCCCAGGCCCCCCTAACCTTGGGGCAGCCTCGGAGGCACACTGACTTCTCATCTGGATACTTCTCCAGCCGCTGGGGTCCCTTGCTGGAGGACTTCCGGAACACCAGCCAGCACCTCCTGTAGATCTGTGGAGCAAGATGGTAGGGGGATCAGGCCTCCCTGGACCACTTCCACTCAGCCAGCATGGCCCTGCAGTTACCCCTTCCTACCACAAGGGGCAGTGCCACACAGCCTTCCAGGGGGCCCAAGCCTGGAAGACCTAGGGACAGCCGACACCAGCATGACACCCACCCTGGGGAAGACGCCCCTCCCCAAATTGAAAAGGCAGTCATTTTTTGGCTGGCTCTGAATGACTGTTCCACAAAGGGCACTCCTAAGCTACTGTTTACTATGAGCTCTGCTCTTGGTTTAATCTAAGTAGCCAACATTTGTTGAGAGCTTCCTATTCGTACTTTTTGTTATTAGCACCCTTCATAGTTAATCTCGGGGTCACTCTTAAAGGTCAGTTCTGTTATCATCTCCACTTTATAGACAGGGAAACTGAGGCGTCCAAAAGTTAAGTTTTGACAGCTAATAGATGGTAGAGTTGGTATTTAAAACAGGCTCTTTAGATCCAGGGCCGTTACTAGAAGCCCACTGCGCTAAGGTTCTGTCCAGGGCTCCAGGAGGACCCGCCCCAACAGAATGAGCATCCTGGGGACAGGGATTAGACCCTTACCCACTCCCAGCCTGCACATCAATGCAGCTCTTATTTCTAAGACTCGGGGAGGGCTCTTGATGTGTAACACCCCCTCTTGTCTCTAGGACCTTTCACTCCCCCTCTCTTTTCATTCTCTGACCAGCCCTGGAATGTGGGAGACCAGGATTAATTCCCTGTTGCAGCTGGGAAACCAGAGGCTCTCAGAAGTAAAGGAGCAGAGCCAAGAACCTGGGGTTACCCCAGAGCACGGTGCCTTCCCCAGGAGATTCCCTCCTTGTCCCAACCACTGCCAACGACCATGTGCCTAAAACCACCCCAATTCTCTGTAGCTTCATGGATTCTATCCAAGTGGCGAGGAGCAGGGGTGGGGGGGTTAGTCCCCAGCCACCTGTCTAGGCTGCTGACTCTTCCTTACATGGCGTCCTCCCTCCTACCTCAGGCTCTCCTCCAGCCCAAAGTCTGGCTGGGATGTACCTCTTGTCAGCAGAGACTCCAGAAGCCTGGAAGAGCCATTCCCCAGGAATCTCCAATGTTCCTTTCACTGGCAAAGAGTGGGGAGGCTGAGGGGTGGCCCAGAGCAGAGGAGGTGAAGGGGTCTCTGGGCCACAGCCCCAAGCCCCCTCCCTTTCCCTGCTCTGGGGCACCAGGTCCTTGGCAGGCAAGGTCCCAGGGTACAGCGGGCCCAGGCAGTCCCCCATCCCAATAAGCTACTCACAACCATGCTATTTCTAACTCCTGAGACACTAGGAGGCGTGTCTGTCCCTGCACTACTGAACCTGGCTCAGCCCCTGACCTACCCACCTAAACTCCAGCAGGCCTCCACTCCAGCTGGGGAGCTCTTTTAGGGTAGAGGCTGCATTTTATTCTCAGAATCCTCACATCCCAGGAGCCTGGTCAACAGAGCTCTGCTGTACAAGTGAATGACCATATGAAGGGATCATGAATGAATGGATGGATGGATGGATGGATGGATGAATGAATGCATGAATGCTGCTGACCCAGATAGGCCCCGCCAGCTTGGGCTCCGTGCAGTCTGCAGCAGCAGGGGTAGAAGGCCTGGGGGCCTGAGCACTCTGGTTGCCTGGTTACAGGACACACACACACACACACACACACACACACACAGCCCCAGGGAGCCACTGCGCTCAAGAGTCCTCCTTCCCCACTTCTCACAGGTCTTTGATCTGTGCTTCAGAAACACTCTGCCACAGCTCTGTCTTGGGAGGAAAGCCCTGGCAGGTAGGAGGGTCTGCTCCTGAGCTCTTCCAACCCTTCCCCCTCACTTCTGTGGGCTGAGACAAAAACGGCTGGGTAGCCGCAGCCCCTTACAGAAGGTCTGCAGGGGGAGGCCAAATTCCTTGAGTGGCGGGGACTCCAGACTGGGCCTGGCCACACCCCAGCTCCCAAACCCTCTCCCTGGCTGTGCCCACCGTGGGTTCCCAGGTCTCCCCCTGGAACAGGCCTGGTACTGAGCTCAAGTGGCCACCCCAAGTGGCTCGTCTTCCTGGGAAGCTCTGCTGTGGACAGGGCCTCAGTCCAGCTGGCCCCTGGGGACCTGAAAGGTCCAGGCCCTTAGGAATGAGTAGCCACACTAGCAGCTGTGCCCCACCCCCTTGCCTCCCCATCTCATTCTTAGCTTTTCTCCATGTTCTGTGTTCCAAGTGGCCTCCATCTCTCTCTTGGGGTAGAATCAAAGTGGCTGATGGCCACCAGGGCCCAGGTTGGGATACAGTCCAAATCCAAGTAAGACTTTAAACTTACCCACCAGCTCAGCTGCTGCCCACCACCTGGACAGAAGAGCCCCCTATAGAAGCCCTGGGGGTGGGAGCCACAGGAGAAGGAGGGGCAAGAACTACCTTGCTTCAAGGCCAGTCCTGCTCTGTTTGGTACCTAGGCAGGGAACTCAGGTATCAGAGCCCTGCCCCTCCCCCACCCCACTCTGCTAAACCAAGAAACCTTGAGCAGTCCGATTGCACCCCCACCCCCATCAGGGCCATGGGAGAGGGAAGGAAAAGAGGGGCAGGGGACCCAGGTAAAACACAAGACTTGGGCTACCTCAGTCACCAAGGTTACCTTCCTACTGGGGAGACCCATCACTGGAGTGGGGAGGAGGGTCGGCAGGGGTATAGAGGCAGCTCTTAGGACAACCTCACCAAGCTCATTAAGTTGGTCCCTGGGGGCCCTCCTCATGCCTTCTGGGGGGTTTTCACCAGTAGGGGGTGGGAGAGGGTGCACGCTAAGCAGAGGTGTGTTTGAGGCCACATCTCCATAGACCTTCCAAGCCCCTAGTCACTTGTAACACCTGGGAGGAAAGCAGCCGGCCCAGAGCCCTGGGCCATGCTGCCCTGGTTCTCATTCATAAACCACATAAACATCAGCTTCTGCGCCTCTCACACCACCACTGTCCCCTCACAACCAACCACTCTCCTTCTCAAACACTTCTTTAACCGTCAAAGCAACAACCAAAGATAAATAAATAAATGCCCATACACAGAAAGCAATGGGAAGCAGGGGAGATGAGGTACTTAAAAGAAAAGAGGTCAGGAGAGGGGAGGGGAGAAACGGGGAGGTGGCGGCAAGGGGAATTGAGAAGCTAGTCTCAGCTCAGACACAGCGCGGCATTTCCAGCTGCTCCTGCCGCTGCCCTGGCGACAACTTCAACAATAGCAGGGGAGCCGCCTGCCCATCAGCAGCCACCACTGGCTCAGCCACTGGGATGCCAGCCAGTCCAGCTGGGGCAGGGGCTGCAGCAGGCAGAGCCGAGCCCAGGCACATGCCAGGCAGCCCTAGCACGACGCCGGGCCAAAGGCGGGCAGCCGCACACCCCGACATGCCAGGCGCTAGAACCGGTCCTGGCCGCCCATCCCTCGGCAGGGCCCCTGGGAGGTGGCTCACCCCAAGCTTCCTGCTCTTCATCTTCACGTAGCCTTGCTTGACAATGTCGTTGAAATTGGTCGCCATGGCTTCCCCACTGTGGGGGCTCTGCTGGCCGGCTGAGGCTAGCGGAGGGGAAGGATGTCCAGGTGGCCTTGGTTTCTGGCTCCTCCGATCACCTGTTCGAGATACTCCGTCGGGGCTGCCCCGAGGGCTGCTTCTCACCTCGCCCACCTCAGCATTGTTCTAGCAGCTCCTTTGCCCGGTGCCTGCTGGAAATAAAAATGACAGGGAGATTAGACAGTGACATCTTTCTCTTCCCCTGGCTGTCTCGCTCTTTTTTCCTTCCTCTTCCCACACTCCTCCCTCCCTCCCTCCCTCCGCCCGCCCTCCTTCCTTCCCTTCCCTCCCCACCCCAGGACGGCAAAACCATTCAGGAAAACAGAGGTGGAGGCAGCAGCGAGGAAAATGGTCCAGCCCAGTCCCCTCCCTCACGGCTGGGGCTGGCGGTTAACCCCTTCCTGGGAGGACTGGCTCTGCACCCACTGTGGAGGTGGGGGCAGAGGAAGGGAGGTGACCCAGGACCTGCTGTCCAGCCCTACCTCCTGCTACAACTTTGGGGTAGACTTAGGGCCAGCTCCCTTCCTGTGCACAGGAACTCCACGTGGGAAAGCCTTCTCAGAGATGGGGGGGTCTTGGGATATGGCACAGATTCTGGTGAGCCTCATACTCCCTGAGGTTAAAGACAATATGCCTTGTCAGTCTCAGCAGACCCCCAAATCCCTCTACCCCACCCCAGCCGATACCTGGTTCTCTCTAGCTCAAGCCAGCTCAGGCCCTGCTCCCAGCCCCTGGAACTCTTCAGCAGCTCCTCTGGGTGCTGCTTCCTGGGAGGGAGGGCAGAGTCCAGTGGGGCGGGCCTCCAGATAAGCCTGAGGAATGTGCTGGGCAGGCTGGAGGTGGCTACTGTGGCGGCAGACGCCTCACCCTGGCCCTGGCGCTGGGAAGGCCGGGCTGGTCTGTGGGGGTGCTGGGTCTGGCCAGGCCTTGCAGTGCTGCATGTCCTGAGCATGAGCAGAAGTGAATTACCTTGAGAATTAGCAACCACCTGGGCCTGGGGCAGAGGACACAGCTGGACCACACTGAGGGGGCACCAAGAGGAAGTCAATATGGAGTGGGAAAGGGGGCACCATTAGCGGCTCTCAGAATCAGGCAGATCAGGAGATAATGAAGACTCAGACTTGGGAGGAGGTGTCTCAGTGATGATTTAGTCCAACATCCATTTTATATCATTTTATGGTTGGGGAAAAGAAAGCTGCCCAGAGAGGATGAGCAGCATGGCTAAGTTCACACAGCAAGCCCAGGGCTCAGCGAGGGACAAATAAGCTCCAGAGTGGGTAACGGAGGGAGGCCTGGGGGTGGAATGCCCTGTCACCTGGCTCTTATTGCCTGCCCTGACCTAAGCCTTCTCTGCCATCCAGGCTCAGGGGCAAGGCTGTGCCCACAACATGGCCTCCCGTGTCTCCAGGATCACTAGGAGGGACTGGAGCAGCAGATCTGCGGCCAGCTGGGCATCTGTGCTGCCACGACGGGGCCCTGGGGCAGGCATGCTGCTGGATCTGCCAGCAGCTTGGCATTAACTAATCTCCTGGAGGCCTGTAGAGTCCCTAACAAGGAACAGATGTGACTCCTCCAGTGAGCGCACACAAATAGGCAGGCATAGGGGCAGAGAGGAAAGTGCTCCCCATGCCCCTTGTACCCTGACAGCCTCTTCACCATCCCGCAGGGTTCTCCCTGCTCATTCACTCCCCCTGGGGTCTGAGACTCTTCCACACTCAAGTGGTCTGCTTTCTTCCTATAAGGTCTGGGGTGGGGTCCCTCCCTGGCACTGACCCCCAACAGCCTTGCCACACCCAGGCACTGGCAGTCAGAGATGGGTACATTTTCCCAACTCTGTTTCCACCGCCTGCCCTGGGTCTGCCTTGCCCCCACAGCAAGGACCAGCTCTGTAAAATTCCCCTCCAAGATGACAGCTAGCTGGCTGCTGGCTTAGGGTCCAAAGCATGGAAGACCCCTTTCAGAACACACCTACTAGCAAACACTGGACCCCTGGATTCATCCAAGGCAGCCCAGGATGTGGCCCAGCCAGGAACATGAATCTAACTGACAGATGGTCCTGAACAAGCAAGCTGCTTAACTTCTCAGTGCCTCAGTTTCCCCAACAGTGAAAAAATGAGAATAAATCCACCTACTTTAAATGAGCAAACGACTAGAAGAGGCACCTCCCTTTTCATGTTGGACCCAGAGCTTCTGCCTCGAAAACTCCAACAGCTGTTTTTATTTCAAGAGCTGCTGTCCAGCCAAAGGCTGTGAAGTCACCCTAACCCAGCCTCCCACCTGCCCAATGCAGGCCTGCTCCTTCCTGGCTCTATCAGTTACTTCCCTTAGTGACTGTGGCCACCAAGTTGTCAGAAGCACCACTGCCATGTATGTCCATAGGCCCACACCTGACCCCAGGTCCTAGAATCAGACCCACAGAGATAGACCAGTGGGAAGAGCAACCTTCTAGGGGAAGGCTGGGTGGCAAAGGGCCTGGCAGCTCACTCTGGCCCTGAGTCACAGGTTGTGCTGACTTTACTCAATCCCTAATGAACATGCAAGTGCAAGACGGAGCCTGAAGCCCAAAGCAGTAAAGCAAGGGGGAGTTGGGGAGGCAGGGAGAGAGGGGAAGGGCCAATAGGTAGACTCACAAATTTGATAGGCAATGGAATCAAGGGAGGGAACACCCAGAACCAACCCATCCCCCAGAGGGCTGCGCCATGTGAAGCAAGAGAGGTGGCCCCCAGGCCGAGCCTGCGCAGACCCACTGGGGCATCAAGGAATGGAGGGCAGCTGAGCTCAGCAGGCCAGGAACTGGCCAGAGGCAGCCCCTGGCCTGCCGCACTGGGGGCCACTTTCCTCACCAAACAGCTCTGCCTTTCACGAGCCTGCAGCAGGGAAGAATGACCTGCTAATTGGAGAGGACCTAACTGGAGAGGACCTGCGGTCTCAGCTCTGAGCACCCAGAGAGGCTAAGCAGGGTGCCCACTAGCCCCCTCAATGCTGCAGCGGGCGGCAAGGACCCCCCATTCCTCCTCCCAGTCTTGTATCAACACAGCTGCTCATCCAGAGACAGTGCCTCTCCTGGACCAGGCCACCACTGGCTCCTCCACAGAGAGAGCCAGACTCTGAAATTACCCTCTTCCAGGAAGGGAAGGTGTCCCGTGGGGAAGAGGCAGGAGACTCCCTGGTGCCTGCAGAGGGGTAGGGTGGGCCCCCCTGCCCACCTGACCCATGGGCCAACCATCTAAGCACTCCCTCCCAGCACCTGGATTCTGCCTGGAGGCTTTGGCTCCAGAACAAACGCTACTTGCTGATGTTGGCAACCAATGACTGAGCAGCAGCAGCCGCCTATCTGGCTGGGCCTCCCCACCCCTTGATAGATTGGATCTTATCAGGGCTTCAGGGACAGCCTTACCTGGACTGTCTCACTGACGTCTAGCTGTCTTCACCCCCTGGCAAAGATCCTATCCGCAGCAGGATTCTCTCCAGCACCAGGGACATTTCCCATTACCTCCCTGGTCCTCTCTACCCCAGTGTGGTTATTATCAGGGGCCAAGAGGAGGTCCCGCTTCCCAGAGGGCCCCACCCCTGATCTCCGCCCATGCAAATCACCACAAGCAACCCATCTGAAACTCTGCAGGCTCGAAGGTAGGTGGGAAAGAAAGATCACATACCCAACTGGGCAGAGAAAAAACGATGGGAGGAGAGGACAACTGAACAGCCAGGGTCTCCTGTGCCCTTAAGTCAGGAAAGTGGTGCTAAGCCTCCACACCACTGGCACTCTGCTCTCTCTGGGATCCCTACCTACCCTTCCAGCCTCATCTCCCGCGTGCTAGCCTTCTTTCTGTTCCTCAACATGCGTAACTCTTTTCCATGCAGAACCACTGCACTTGCTGTTTCCTTCCAGCAGATGGTCCAAGGTTCATTCTACTGCATCATTCAGGTCTCAGCTCAAAGAACATCACTTTAAAGACAGCTTCCCTGACCATGCTGGCCAGAGGAGCCCCCCCTAGTCAGCCTCATCACAATACCCAGTTTCACTGCCTTCATGCACTGCATCACTCTAGGATTTGTCTCTCCCTTCATCTGTTGATTTGCCACTCAGTCGCTTTCCGTCTCCTACAACACCCCAGAATGTCAGCTCCCTGATGGCTAGGTGTTGTCTGTCTAGTAAGTAGCTCCATCCTAGTACCTAGAATGGTGCCTAGTGCAGAGAAGGTGCTCAGTATTTGGGGACTAAAGCCATAATTCTCTCCAGGATTTGTCCTCATCATTTTCCACATCATTACCAATATTCACCTGGTCAGGCTCAGCTCAACTTCCAGAGGCATATGTGAGCCTCAGGGCCCCAGACCCACAGTTTGGTTCAAAGCTGCCCCAGGAGAAATGGCACTGCTGACAGTGTCCAGGCCTGGCTGGGCAGCCTCACCTTGGCCACTGTTGCTGGGTGAGGTCATGCCCAGCTCTGCTGCCCTGCTTTGGAGGGAAGAGCAAGAAGTAGCCAGTACCCAGGCTCAGAAGGTCAGGCAACTGGTGGATGGGGGCATGCTTCTGAGATCCATCCCAGGTAGTGGGGACAGGAGTGGCCTGCACTGGAGCCACATTCCCCTTGAAAGGGGCAAGAAAGAAATTGCACTAAACAAGCCCAGCCTAAATTGTTGCTGTGAATCCTGCCGGGCCCCTCACTGCCCTTGACTCTCAGACCCCTACATCCCAAACCCTCCATCCAAGTCTCCTGGCAAGTGCCACACACCCATGGCTTGGGACAGGCAGGCTGAACAGAAGCCCTATTCTGCCCACATAACCCAGGTGCTCAGCCTCATTCATGCCCCTCTGCAGTGACAGAAAACATTTAATGGGAAGCAGGGCCTTTGGGAATCCTGGGGGAGAAGGGGGACAGGACCCCAGGGCCAGGGAGAAAGGTTCAAGGAAAGAAGGCAATTGGCCACGAGTTTAAGTTGTAGGGTAGGAACCATTTGCAGGTAGGAGTGAGCAGTGGGGGCAGCTGAAGTAGAGAAAGTCTCTTGGAATTGGGGCAGTGGGGGAGGGCACAGAGAGAGCAGGAGGCCATGGGGAACTGGAAGGGTGGGAGGAGGATAGGGGCTGTGTGATGCTCGGGGTTATGCCTCTTCCGGATGGCAGGCCCAGGGTCAGGGAGCACAGGGGCCTGGGCTTCTCTGATGGTAGACGTAGGGTAGACGTGAGGTCACGCCCCGACCTAGGCTCCCCTGGAAAGGACAGCAGGGGGTAGTTTCAGGGGCCAGGACTTGGTTTTGTAGGCGGATCTCTGAAGCCCCTTCACAGGGTAGGAGGATCCTATGGACTTGAGAGTTCTCAGGCTGGAGTTGCCAAGGGTCTCGAAGGCTCGGG